AATATTTTAAATGTTAATTATTGTAATATTTTAATATTTAATAAGAATTTATTGTGATTTAGACGGACAAGATTTAAACAATATATACTTACTAATCAATTTGTTTCTTGTTTGCAACACACGTTTTGACTTTTCTTGCAATTCATCCTTTACAAAGCTTCAAATTTAATTTCATCTTTCAGATCAGCGTTCATAATTATAACTCACCAGTAATTCAACACTTCCTATATTTAAAATCAGATCGTAGCAAATAGCACGATTTTATCTTTAAAATTACAATCTGGTGTACAGGAAACATTTATTTCTCGGTTACAGGTTTTAAGATTGGGAATTGAGTAACCAAAAGTAATTGATAGTAATTAAATTTAAGTAATTTATTTATGTGGTTGACAACAACTATATAAGGCCAATAATAATATAATCGATTGCTTATTTCCTTTTCATAAGGACGTAATTTTCTTCGTGTTAAGAATATATCGCATTAAATTACAGGAACATAAAACTTCCATTTCCTTCACCAACAAGAAACCTTTAATTTAATAACAACTTTCTTTTTACCAGAAGGAACGATTTGAATGCAGAGGTGGGGAGTTTTTTTTTTTTCTAGTCAGGATTAAAATTATTTTCACTGTTGGATGTAATGGTATAAGAAAATGGAATCTTATAGTTATCCATTCTTCAAATAGAATTTCCTGTATAAGAGAACACTGAACCCGTCTTTGTTTGTTCTCAGCACGTCGTTACTAAATTGCGTGTACTTTTCGTTGATGTACACAAGGCGGAGAGAAAGCATGTGTCTGCTAATTGATAATGGTAATCGTGATGTGTGTTAATGTGTGTTAGTGATAATATTTGTGCAATGTTTGTGTCCCCTGTCTGATCTCAACAAATGCCTGTAGCTGTGATACAGATTTTGTATTAGTTTATTTAATGCATAAGATCTAGACGCATGATGGGAAAACTGTAACACAGTTTTAGTAAGTTATGAATAGGAGTTTTTTTTTAAAGGATTTACTACTGTCTGAATGCGTTTGATACAGTGATACACTCCTTTCAGGCTTTCGGATTAAAATTTCGGGAAATCTGGTTTAAATTTTTGAATACATACACGTAACTATCTAACATTTAGGATCATCTGATTTTTTTTTTCCCCCATGAGAATCTCGTGTTCTTGTCGGTTATTTTAATTCTTACATTTTGAATCACTTCATTCCCTCTTATTATAATAAAGACAATTCAAGGAAATTCATACGTGCTTATTTATTTTAAATTTACTCTTCGTCATTACATTTTACTGTAGTTCTCAGTATATTTTTCGAAATCCGTATTGCCATAAATTCTAAATGTTTTAAAAAAAATTATGCACTCGGGAATTTAAATGTGAGACATTACACTGTGTACGTACTTGTAACGAGAGTAGATTAGGTTTACTCAAAAGAAGTACTTATACACTTTGAAGTGTATTCTTTGTAATTTCATGCACATCTACAAATCCAATGTTACAAACGATACCACACTTCAAAAAGATTTAAGTTATATTTCCTTGTATCTGATTAATCGTTCTATAAAAATGTTTCTTATAAACGTTTTAGACTGCACTCAAGTCCACATTTAATTCTGCGATACGAAACAGACAGACACGTTTTAACTACTATGCATTATGTTATCGAGATCTCAGACGTATTGTCTGGCGGAATTACTATTACAAAGTACTATTTGGTATTTCATTGCGTTTCTATTAAATATTTATTTCCTTCAAATATTATAAAATGTATTTGTTTTAGCCTTCGGAGCTATTTGGTACCTTTAATTGTACTCTTTAAAAAATTACAATATTTTATATCCAATTTTTTGAAGTTTCAAAAATGCATTGCTTTGATATCTAGTTGTCTGTAATGTTTACATTAATGAAATGTTCTCTTGGCTGCGTTAAAGTGTATCTCGTTACTGTTTTAGTGGGGGGGGTGTCCCGATACAGACATGCGTACATACGCCCTAGTAAATTCCAGTGCGAATCAATACAATTCAGTTTTTTTGAAACATAATGTTGAAGTAATTTTAAATGTCATTCTTGAGTGTACTCTTTTGGGGTTTCTTCCTACAAAACAATAATACAAATACATGATCTGCATTTGATAAATTACGTGTTTGCAAAAGACAAATATTTCATGTGATGTTGCATCATTCATGTGTAATGAATAAGTCATATAAATGTTTAGTATTAACAATATAGAGTTTTCTGCCCGGAAAATGTATAATATTATTTATTTATCAGTGTAAGCCTTACAAGCATATGATTTTACATAAGGTTCGTAATTACTCTTTTAAGGATTCTTTGAATTACAAACCGTTTGAAAGAATTGTGTTTCTATTTTGTTTCTGCTTGTGTGTTATTAAAAACAATATTCTCTTACAGAAATTAAGCAAGAGGATGAAAGAAACATCTGAATATCCTTGTACATGTGTATTAATGTTGTTATTTATTAATTGTGGTTTGCAGCATGTTCTAATGATGATCAGTGTAATATAATCAGAACACATACAGACACGCATTTACGAACATTTCAACAGTAACCGACAGATACATCAGTTATGTTACCACCATAAAAGACGCTTAAATCGTACGAACCTCGTACAAAGTTTCAAAATATCTATCTTTAGCATTAATATATTATCTTAAAAATAGGCTACGACTTTTCGCCACCTATTATAACCCCTGATACCGTTATCTCTTGTTCAAGCGGACCGTAATAAACACTAAGTATAATGGTATTCCTGATCAACATCATTACGAGTTGCAGGAACATATACCACGATTTGAATAACGCTGTTCAAAAGCGTTATAAACACTTGTCAATAGAATAATAACAAACCGTCCGAAGATGGGATCACCGCCGACTCCCGAAACGTCGGACAATGGGCAATTTGCAACATAGTATCCTCACAATCTTCCCAATTTACCTGTCCACTGTTTCGGGCTACGTTACCACCTCGTTAATCGATTCAGAGCGATGGTTCTTTCAATAAAATCGAAAGATTTGAAAAAGATTCGAAATTGTTTTTTTTCCAAATTTTAATGTCCCTCGTACGGTGAGAGGAGAGACAGTTCTACCAACCGTAGACAACGTTTAATGAAAAGGAAACATGAAGATTGTATAGTGATGGAATGGAACAATGCAAAACTAGGGTTGCAGATACGAAACGAAGATGAAATTCGAATTCAGAAGCAGACAGACAGTCACGTACGAGAAATATCGATAATTTTCATACAGGAGCAGATGCCACCAGCACGCTTAGGAGACGCTTCTGGAAATTACATAGAACGACATGCCTTGAGGCTTCTAAACAAACATACTGACAAAGACAGATGACGCTGGGGATAGTGACGCAGTAGTTGCGTCATATATGTATACAGCGCTGACACGATTAAAGTGTTGTTATTACATTGAATGTATGGATTTATAAGCCCTCGTTCTGTGATTTTTTTACTCGTAGCTTACGTAAATTACGTAATAATTATAAAGAGGATTTCGTAATAAATTTTGTAGGCATAAGTTACAAAGTTTTATGTCCAGGTTGTGTCCTTTTGGGTTCTGACGCCGTGCGGTGGTAACCAACGTTTTACCGAAACTTTGGCAACCACCTGTAAGATTAGACGTCGTCACAACCTAGAAGGACACAATCCGCGTTTTCACCGTCATGAGAATCTAAATCCTTAAAATCTATAATATCTGTTTTCTGAAAACTTAAATAATCAATCGCGCTTTTCTTTGGATGGTGCACAGAGAATTTTAATCAACCAACAGAAAGCTCGTGGTTGCTTCCAGTCATCCAAATTTATTTTGTAACTCATGTTAAGTGAAATTTAATAACTTCAAAAATACTTCTTAGTGTGTTTTTATATGAACAGAAGCATTAATCTAAAATAAACTATATAAGAACAAACACGTGTTTTCTATGTTCCTGTCAAGTTTAGAACCAAGTCCATATAGGCTATGAAAGATTATCTTTCTCCTGAGGGAGCAGATGACAAATTTCATCAACTTCGTCATCTATATAAGCATTATGGATTAGACTCTTGGTCTGTTTCATCCACGAGGATTGAAACTCTTCCTTCGATCTCCTTGTCGGACGTCTCCTACCCCTCGGTTTTTAGGAATTTTTCCCCAACCTTCTATCCATTTCTTTTGATAGTTATTTATCTCAGTTATTTATTTCCAGTGTTTCGTTAATATCTTCATGATTTAGGTGCCCTCAGTTGCTCCGAGAAAATGCATTTTTCGTGTCCTCTTAGAATGAAAAAAATTCCTAAAAATTTGAAATTCTATTTCGTGTCAATTTATTATCTTTTCCTCGTATGTTTTAAGGTCCTTCTTCCTTCACTCAACATATACTAAAATGGCAATTTTTCTGGTCGAGAAGCGTAATGAACGTATGACTCCATTTCAGATGACACAAAATAATGTGATACTATAAATAACATAATTTCCGTTAAATAATTATATAATGAAAATTAGTAAATTAGTCCCCAAAATATGGTTATTAATAATAATAATTTATTATTTCAGTATCGTAATATGACGGAAATTATTAGTTCTTACTTCAAATAAGATTATAATGACAAGCATTTGCGTAATTGTTTTCAGAAATCATTACATTCGTTATTTTATAACTCGAATAAGGAATAAAAATATAATTCTAGCGTATAGAAAGTTATGAATATAAGATAATTAATAATGCTCTCTCTACTGATAGATATGTACGGTGGTGTACGGAGTGTATGAGTAACTAGAAAATTAAATACAAATGGCGAGAAAAGAATTTAACATATCAAAATGGGCTTTTATGGAACGTAACTTTACAGCCCATCGGTAACTACGTGTACCATTTGATTTAATATTAAATAGCTCTGCGTGTTGCACACCCATTCTGTTTACGGGTTTCGTTCGATTATCAGAATAAACAACGATAATTTTCTAAAAATAAAATCATCCTTCAATATTCTTACCAATTAATTATTTATGAACTAACCTATCATCCGACGCAATATAGTTTGAGTTATTAACACCGTCGTTAAATAAACTACAAGTTAATAAATTACAAAGAAAAGTGCAAACTTATTTTAAAATTTTATCGTCGAACAAATATTACATGATTCAGGTATGACTCCACTTGCGATTTTCAATAAAACAATAAAAGGATTTCAGTAATATATTTTGTTTGTTCTCATCTTGAAACAGGCCACTGGCATCCTACTACACATATATGGAACAGGATCGCGATTATATATGCTCCAAGCTCGAAGACAACGGCATGCATCAGTGTAATGACCTGCCACATTTCAAAGTTGGGGACATGTTGTGTAATGACAGCGCCATTGTAGGAGCAACCAACACTCCCTCTGAGAAGTCATGTGTGAACTGGAACCAGTACTACACCGAATGCAAAGCTTCGCCCTATAACCCTTTCCAGGGAACTATTTCTTTTGACAACATCGGTCTCGCCTGGGTAGCCATTTTTCTTGTAAGTACAGTATTTAAATTTTTGTTGTGACCACGTGTTATATAATTTTCCATGAGGTAGTGTAGCTGCGTCATATTGTGATATTAATTAAAATAATTATTATATTTGTTTACCGTCAAATCACAATAAAATAGTAAGATAAGATAATTAAAATGATTAAAATATCATCTTATGTTCTATATCGAGCATTCGATTTACATCGGAACTTTCACAACATGTTTCGGTTTATCAAACCGTTAACAACCCCATTTTTAATGCACTCCAGTACCTCGACCCCAACCCTGACAAACCACCTTTCACCCACTAACACCGCAGTCAATAACGAACCTCGTTCCGAGATGGTAACACTTCTAAATCTCTCTTCTGAACACATCTGAACCGATTGCTATTTCATATATGGTATGTTTATTTGCTATTATTTATTATTTTAGTTCATTTTGTTTTCTATATTCAATCATATTTCATTAATGTTTTCGAAACTTTTACTTCACAGACTGGTATAAACATCAAAACACCACCTTAACAATAATGTTATATTAATAATATCTAAACACAACTTCCAAAAAATATACTGAGAAAGATGATAAAATTATAAAAATTGTAAAAACTATAAATAATTGTAATTTGAGTTTAAAAGTTTATAATTTACACCTGATGACGGTTTGATAAACCGAAACATGTTGTGAATGTTCCGATGTAAAATCGAATGCTCGATATGGAACATAAGATGATATTTTTAATCATTTTAATTATCTTATCTTACTATTTTATTGTGATTTGACGGTAAACAAATATAATAATTATTTTAATTTTCCATGTGTGACATTTTGTTGTTGTTGTTGTTTCGTAAGGTATATTCATTCGATGCTATAAAGTCTAGATACTGAATGAATTGTTAAATAAACAATAAATAAAATGCGGAAAATATAAAAATGAAAGGGATGTGTAATTGTAGGTCAGTGGCCCTTGTATGAGGAGACACGATGGAACCAATGTTAACACGCAGAGATGTTACCCCTAAATCTGGTTCATTATTTTATATTTGTGATAATAATGTTGCATCTTCTAAGGGAAAATGCCAGTGCAGATGGAAATGACTCCAAATTAAAATGAGATCAGAAGGATAAACAATATTATATCATAAAGTTAACAGCAAGTGTATATTTTTGTGAAACAGATACATTTCCTTTGTCCCCAGTGTCTGATAACAGATGTGACAGCGTCTTTTTTTTTATTTTATATCCGTGAATCGTTTGACGCATCTCATTAAAGAAATCAAAGAATAATTTATTTTAAAAAAGTAAAATATATTCTGGACGTAATCAGAGCTTTTTTCCGTGCGTGTATTATACGGTATTACTCCTTAGGGGATTTTGTGGATTAAAAGTACACTGGTGAGGAAAGTCGAGTCCACTTGGAACTCGCGATTTATAAATTTAATTTATTTTTCATTTTCTGTGACAAGATGATACGAATAAATTCCTCTGAATTTTATTAGGCGATACCATATTTGAGCCTTGGTTAGAAAACTTATTGCTTTATTCTTGATTTTTGTAATATATTGTCTGAACGTAACTTCGAAGTACGTCACGACCGCTTTCATTAACTAACCTTCTCAATTTACTGTTTTTAATCTTGCTTAAAATTATTTGTGATACATTTTACGTATGAAATGTTATTCTGGGCTCAGTTATAAACCCGCTTTAAAGACCACTTCACTTAATGTGAACTGTTGCACCGTGTAGTCTTATATAAATTTACCGACGTTTCAGAGGTGTTTACTGCTTCCATCATCAGGGCGAGAGTACACGAGGCAATATCTGAAAGTCATCTTAATACCCGTCGCAGTGAGAAACTAAGAAGGCATTTCTCAGAAGTTCATAGTTATTCGGACGGCCAAGAAATTCCGCGTTGTATTAAACACGTCGCCTTGCCGTGTTAACATTGGTGTATCATTGATATTTTTTTTTCTAGAGATATTGTACAGTTTTTGGGTTTGTAAAATTGCCACGGTGGTCTAGCGGTTAGAACGCTGGCCTTGTAATCCTGGGGTCTCGGGTTCGATTCCCGGTGGTGCCCGAATTTATAACTTGTGTTGGGCAAGGCCGTGGCCTAGGCAACACGGAGTTTTCCTCATTGGCATCCCAACAATTACTCCATTCACGCACAGAAGAAGGCAATGGCAAACCGCTTCTGGATCATCTGCCAAGAACGTATATGAACAGGTCCCAGTCCGAGAAAAGGATGGAAGGATCCTGTTCATATGGACCTGTCGTCAGACAGAACACTAAATAATTAAATAACGCTGAAAGATTATTGGCATGGTTACCAACCGTAAAACTGAAGGACTTCTAAATGTGTCGTCTGAATTGAATCTGGTAGAAAATATCGTGTTTTTTCGCTTTTCTATGTTGAAGTGTATTAGAACAGAAATATTGGAATGTGATTTGAGGAAAATCGAATTTTGTTCCAAAGCATGCTGGGGAATTTTAAATTCGAGATTCTAGTCAACCTCATACCCGACATTACCTCCGAAAACCAAAATTCGTACTTCAATACTGAAGTTAAATTTATTACGTATTTGCTTATTAGGACGTAAGAAAACACAAAATTATTAATTTACTTGTGGTGGTCAAATTATATCATTGACAGAGTTAATCCGTAATATCGCGTAATTAAGCAGTCGATCGATCAAAATAGGCAGATTGTATTTGGCATTCTGGGCCTGGCAGTCGGTTTATAGCTGTCTCAGTCATGCAAACATCACAATGCATAAACAGGCTTACTCGTGATGACATGCGTTCTCGTAGTGACAACCGCAATGTGGATTTTAGTAATTGTAATGCATTTTACACTGTTTGCAATGGATAGGGTAAATTGACAGTAATTGGTAATGCTATTGATTATCGCAAACATCCGGTCATACATATATGAAGTAGATGTGTTCTGTTTTTGTTAGTGGTGACGTTTACAACTACCGGTTTTCGAAAGCCTCTTATAAGCAACATATTTTGATATATACATATATATGTGTGTTTTGCAATAAGATAAATTTCGATTAATCAGCGTGAACAGTGTTTGGCATTATTAAATTTCCGTACTTCGCCATCGGTGCAGTATTCTGAAGAGAAAAAAACGCAGGATTCCGGGAACTTTGTTCGTTTCCGACCTCAGACGAAAAGTCAGGGAGCACCTACTCAGTTTGGGTCCGGTAGAAAACGCTGACTCCATCACTGGACGAACTAAAGTGACGCAGTTACACTAAACTAAAGTCAAGTTAAATCAATTTTTTTTAAAATTATTTATAATAAGAAAATTTACGATAAAACGTTTTTTTAAAAAAACCCTGAAGACCTGATTTTCAAACTAAGATATTACTTCGTTATTGGTTCATGTTTTCAGAATTTTTTTTTTTAGTAAGTTTAGATTACTGAACTGTTATAATGGTCATCTACTTTCAGAATTTTGCCTTTTGTGTGTTTATTTTAAACGTATCCATGATTTACGATGCCTCCTTTCAGGTTATCAGCTTAGAAGGCTGGACCGATATTATGTATTACGTCCAAGATGCTCATTCCTTTTGGGACTGGATATATTTTGTTCTTCTGATTGTGGTAAGTGCGATTTATAATCTGGCGGTCTGCCAACATTTTTCAATAACATATGAAGTTTTACTTTGGAGTTTAGAAATAAATTGCAATTTGTTTACTCCCAGAATTAAGTTTAAAAATCGATTATATCTAATTATTGGTAGTTCTTAGCCCTCTAGTTTGAGCTTGTGGGCCATCTAAGTCTGTCTGTCTCGTTTTCTTTGAAGTTTCTGCTGAGTTTTTGTTCCTGTGCTAATTATTTCATCTACTCTCGTTACGCTAAAGAACACGTAATTCCTTGGTTGCTCGCAAAAGAGAATTACAAAGTCCACTGTTTTGTTCCGGGCTGTAAATAATTTAAAAAAAAAATTTCTCTTACGAACTGTTCCATAAATTATTACAGGATCACGCTGTCGCGTGTTGTAATGTTAAATTCCAACTGAAGTTTTATAAAAGAAGCGTGTAGATAAAATGTCTGTATTTGTACCACACGTTCTGTAACTTCTTGTATATATTTTTTAATCTTTTTCGTTATCAAAAGACTGATTTGGTCCACGCAGTATTTTTTATTCGTTCCTTCAGAAATTTATCATTCCAAATATTTCACACATATTCCACGGCTTCTCTACTCAGAATTGTATGTTCTGGCTTATCGTCTTACAGAAGTATATTATCCATCACTAGCTACCATTTTCATGGTGAACTGATGCCCGTTTAGACGTCTTTTTGTTTCCATTTTGGGCTTAAAACAAACAAACAAACAGGAAGGAAATTAATTAAATTTGGCATCGTCGTAATGCCGTACGTTACTATTGCAAAATAATAATTTTTAACTTTAAACCCTCGGTATTACCAACAAGACAGTTGCTTAAAGTCGTCATTAAAAATCCGCCTATTTGGGAATTTTAATGCTCACATTTTGAATTTTAAAAGTTATGCAAAATAACTTAGGTAAAATAAGAATAATACTTGTCAGCTGATGGCAGAGGTATAGACGAAGACAGGCTACCTTCGCATTAATATAAAATTGGAATTAGTGTTTTGCGTAAGGATTGTGTAACACGGTTGGCTTTACGAAAGTAACTTTCGCCATATTTGTGCAGATCGGCTCGTTCTTCATGATTAACCTGTGTCTGGTGGTCATCGCTACGCAGTTTTCGGAGACCAAGAAGCGAGAAATGGAACGCATGCGATTGGAACGAGAGCGTTTTCGCTCGACGAGCACTCTGGCGTCTTCTACCAATAACTCCGAGCCCACGTCGTGTTACGCTGAAATCGTTAAGTAAGTACGAAATATTTCTGTTCGCTTTTGTTACTTTGTCTAGGTCTGCACTTACAGCCTCGTGCTTCTTACTGGGAGTAACTTTTTAAAATTTAGTGTTTTCTCCGCAATCAGGTTTAATGTTTGAAATTTGAATATTTAGATTTTATTCGTATTAATTATAACGCCGTGTAGAGGGTTTCCAGTGACGGAATAGCACTATATTTCGGATTTGCAACAAAAGTTACGTCTAACTCCTTCGACTAAAAATTGTGTGTTTCTTCATAGCTTATTTGCGAATGTTAAAGAAAAAAAATTCCATAAACTTCTGATAAGAATAAATGAAAGTTAGTATTATTTGTTTTTATTTATCTGCTAATATCACTTCTAGGAAAAAATTACGAAATTATTTTTTGTTCATTCTACTATGGTTTTAATTTTAGCTTTAATTTAATTTACGAATTTAATTAATCCTTCTTATTTCTATCATGTTTTATTTTACGATCGGTATCTAATTCTGTGTCTTTTATCAGAATTTTACACCCCAATACAAATTTATATTTCGTCATATATTTCATATGCCTTCGTTTGTTTTAAATACTCAATTTAACTTGTCCTCTTTGTGAATTATTATCCGTATTAAAATATCTCATTTCACTCGTACAAAATAAACAGTACCAAACACTTTCTTCTATTCGTTGCGCGAACACGTCATACAGTTATATTTTGAAACATTTAATTCATGCTGTGTTATCTGAAGCCCTGTTCTTTTTTTATTACGAGTGGAATTTAATTAAAATATTTATACCGATATTCGAGAATATTGCACTTTTGTAATCTAACCTTTATGAAAAGTAAAATTAGTTTTAATTCGTGGCCCTTCACATGTATAGAGCACATGTGTAGGGTAATAACATTTGTTTTCTCAAATGAGAAATACGGATGTCGAAAGACGCCCGTGTAACGTTCCCCAAAACGTCGAACCAGCTACGAGTCGCCTCAAATACACATTCATAAGTTTCCTTCGTTTATAATAAGCGTAATTACTAAGTACTGGCATTCGAGTTAAAAGCGATAACTCGCCTCACGCGAGACCATTTATATTACCCAGCGTCCTTTGCTCCGGAAGTAGCAAGTATGCAACAAGTGGTAGCAAGATTTAAGGCCGTAGTAGACCGCATACTTCGTATCTGCTCAGAACTGGTGGTCTCGTGGGTAAGTCTTGTCCGTGATCATCAACGTTTCGGTGGCAAATATCGTCTCTGTCCTCAGGGTTACATTAAGTGTACCACTATGACTCGGTCACCAATGCCCTCGTTCGTCATAAAGTATGAACTTGAACGTGAGAACGGCGTTCGATTTGGATTGGCTTTGTAGTACATCTCACAGCTTCTGTATAAATTCGTCGAAAATTTATAATATGTTTTTAGTTTTTAAGAAGAAAGAAATAATATTGGCCTAGGCCATTTCGTTTTCCTTTCGCCTTGCCTGGTTCTTCTTCCAACTCTATACACTCGATACAATTCCTGACATCGTCACTTCAGCCTTGAAGACAGAGGTAGTATTTTCCTCCGAAACGTTGGTATCTACCTACAAATCCACATGAAGTTACAGTCTATGATGCAAGCACATGTCTTGAGATGAATGGATGTGAATGAAACGTACGTCAAAATAATCATGTATGCAGCCCTAGTGTTCAACAAGAATCAGCGATGTTACGTCACTACCCCTTTCTCAGGTCTGTTTATGCTGAAATCAGGCAGAGTGCGCGCTCACGTGTTTCAGATACGTCGCTCATCTGTGGAGAAGAAACAAGCGACGCTTGCTGAAGAAGTACCGACTCTACAAGTATAGAGCGCAGCAGCTGAAAGAACAAAAACGAAGCGAGCAGCAGACTGGCGAAGGACTCGCAGCCCCGGTTGTGGGCGCCATTACACTGCACCAGTACAGGGGAGCCAATGGGAACAACGGAAGCGGTAAGGAGATCTCGACTCGCTTGCGGCGGTCGGGACCAACCCGTGTGTTTCGCCTACCTCGCCATCTTGGCGGGCAGAAGGGTAGAAAAAATACTTTTGTTTTATGCAGACCAAAAACATTTCCTGAGACAGAGTTTTGCCGCTTGGAAATGATGTTTTTGGTTCGGACAGAACATGCTGTACTTCTTGTGATTCCGTTGCCGCTGACTTCTAACGGGCGTGAAACGCGCGGTTTTGTTCCCACCATTGATCCTTTTCTGACGTTGGGCGTCTGTTGTTGAGAACTGTTTGTGGGCGGGAGCTGCAGGCATTAAACAAAAATACGTGCTATTCTACATTTAATTTATAAAGTATAGTTCTGGTTCATGCAAAACAGGTACAAAGAACTTCTTGGAAATTTAATGGTTTTCTATATACTCAAAACAGTTTTCGCCCTTCCATGGTCTTTGAGGACTCATTTCCGTCTTTATAAATTCCCTCGATAAGACTATCATGAGCGAGACGAATCCAGTTCAGACCTGTATATCGTATTTTTTTCTAAGATCTGCTTTAATATTATCTTAAAATTTGCACCTAGGTCTCCCAAGTGGTATCTTACGTTTAGATTTTTCGACTAAAATGTTACGTACCTTACCCTACGTCGTTTCATCTCCATGGAGCCGCTTATGGCCACTGGTTGGATCTGCATTTCCATGAATTTGCATGTGGCGTCAGACTACCTCCCCCCCACCCCCCACTTCCTGCCTGCAAATATCTACATACACACAACCACCAATTGTCAGATAACTGTCCATTAATCCTATCCAGGCCATTACACTGACGACAACGGAGGTCAATACGTTGTCATGCATTCAATGAATTATTAGTTGTTCTTCAGGCTTCCGCGTCAGCGAAGGACACCTTACAGGCCCGTCCATTACTGTCTGTCTGCATCCTTTTAACATGCTCTACGGTGTAACCCCCCTTTTTCTGTGAGCCCCCAGATTTGTAACACGATTTAATAATTCTCACGTTTAGTACTTTTTATGACTGCTTCCAGTTTACGTAATTTTGCGGGTTTTGAGGTTAGCGTTGTTGTTTTCTTAATATTTCAAACTCATGTTTTATAAAAGCAGACAAAAAAATTGAGAGCGAATAATGATGTGTGTTATATCTTTAATCGATAAATCATTATTGTGCTTAGTAGATATCAGTGATTACTTTCAGTTTATGCGCCATTTGTATTACTTATCATTCATTTGTTTTTGTTCCAACCGGATAATACAAGCAGCTATGGATTAACTGTCTTTTTTAGTTATCCGCATTCTATCTGGTGACATTTACGTCGGTTTGCGTGAGACTTTTATGTCCCTGACCTTAGTCGTTTTGAAAATAAAACATCCTGACAGTTTTCGAACTGAAAAATTTGTATAGTCGGCGCAGTAGTTTTTTGGCCAGTGGAGACGCTAGCGGAGCTGGCGGACGGGCCTACTCTGTGTATCTGAGGTGGCACGGTCAGTGTGTTTCTTTTGTTTGGGCGTTCAGTCCGATAAGCTCCTCGGCGCAGTCAGCATTATACTATCGCACAAGAGACTCGCTCCTGCGCCGACTATACTACGCACATTTATTTCGTCCGATGATGTCACATTGACGTACGTCAGCGCACTCTGTCCTTAACTTGAAAGTTTTCACTGCGCTGTGGATTCTTGTCCTTGGCATGTAAAATGTGTGACTGCGCATGTCCTTGATTTGCGTAACATTCTTGGAACGGAAGTTGGTATTTACGATCTAGGTGGCGTCCGCGGCAACTTACATCACCATCTGCATCATCACCATCACCACCACCATCACCACGGATGCCACGCGGCCAAGCCTACCAGAGACGTGGCTTCTTCGACTGCGGTCGTGACTTCATTCGCCGAAGGTCCTCCTCCAGGTCCTCCCACTGTCACGACGGATACGGCAGGAAGCCAATCGGGTGCTCCACGAGCAACTCCAGAGGTCACTGACATTGACCCTACGGCGAGCCCGAAGCGTCTTGCAGGCGGGTTGTTGAGAATTGCGTCTCCGTCGAACGGATGGGGAGAACCGGCTTGTGGTACTGAGGTCAGTAGCCGTCATGTCGCTTCTTAAGTGTCTGTGGTATTTTAATTATTGAAGCTGCAATGCTCTTAATACAAAACACAAATGAGGTTTCAGGTTGAAGATGTCTTCTGGGATGTTGGGCCGTTTAGTCTGGCAGCACGCACCACTGTAACTTCGGTAAACTTTTACCAGACTACGCGGCGCTGCAACCCAGAAGGTAGCCATCTTGACTCGCCGACGTCATAACCTCAAATCCTACTTCGGGCACCGAAACTTGTTTTCAGAGCGGAGCTCAGAATCTGCTAAGCCCAGCGGGGAACAACCAGCAAAGGAGGCCGAGTAGTGTCATGTTTAGTGACGTGGTTCTGTTTCACGGTGGTGGAGCCAGCGGTAACGGAGAGACAACGAAGAACGTGTGTTCCAGTGAGAAAATGACTCAGACCGGAGACGAGAATCTATGGCCAGTACTTGGCAGTTCCGCAGCGGGGCAGCACATAGCACCGCAGCAACAGGTTTGTGGTGTTCGGTCTATGTGAGCAGGTGGAGCGCCCAGCGTGAGAGAACACAACTAACTGGCCAGTCTATGTCGAGCCGTCAGTGTGTGTGTATATTATTTCCACTAGGAACAGAACTTGCATGACCGGAGGTATTTGTTGCGTTGTTGTTGTTGAACAAAAGTGATCCAGGATGTTCCATTGTTGTACAGCACGGAAAACAGGTCATTGTTACCCAACAAAAAACCACGTGTTGCATAAATGCAATAATTACCTGGGATGCAATAGTGGCTTCAGATGGCATAAGAATCACCTAAAGTACAGCCATGGGTACGGATCACATGAGAGCTGTAATAACCTGCACAATGTGGCGTGAAGAATGCCTTTAGAATGTCCGTGTACTCCGAAGAGTGCACCTTTCCAGTCTTGCTCAGTAATCATCATGCCGCCGGATGTTACAAACCCGAACTACTGCTGGATTTGTTAAATAAGTACAAACACATTTTAATTAAAGAATGTCAATTTGGGGTGTTTGATAATGGGGTACTGAGGAAAATATTAGTACGTGATAACTAATCAAATCATCACCTCATCAACTTACGGAGGATAAGATGGATGGGACGTACAACACTTGTGGGACAAATGAGTCCTGCATAGTCTACAAAAATTTTGCTTTAAAAATGTGAAGGAAAAAGGCCACTTGAGAGAAGTAGCGCACCATAGATAGGAGGATAATATTAAAATGGATCTTGAACAGTGTACGAGAATGTGGACTACATTCAACTGGCTGAGGCTCATGTGACCACAGTTTAATTAACTTTCTGGTTTATAATTTCTTTTATAGTTTAGTGACTCAGCTTCTGAACTAGAGTTGTCCTCTATTAATTTTTGATAACATAAAGAACAACCAGAATGATTATCACCCGGTTATTCTATAATGATAATCTATGAATGTAAGTGATGGTTGATTTGCAGTGTTCTGTAAGTACTGATTAGATAAAAAAGGTGATTTGATTAAAATTTGGCATTTTATCAAATGAAACATGTTATGTTATGTAGGGCTATATGTATTTTCAGCACTTGTGGGTTATCAGGACACATCGCTTTAAAAATAGGTTAGGTTAGGTTAGGGTTGGCTTAGGTTAGTTGTCATCTATTTAAATAAAATATAACTTCCAAGTATATGTCATTTATCCACACACATTAACCTAACCCAACCCAACCCTAACCTAACCTAACCTAATCTATTTTTAAAGCGATGTGTCCCGATAACCCACAAGTACTGTATTTTCTTTGTATTATGTTTTTTAGTGATTGTAAAAATCTGAATTCGGATATACCATGAATGAACTATAAGATACATGTCCTTTAAGAGTGTACATAACCGTGTTTCATGTGGTTGCAGATTGTGGAGTGTGGTGGAGTCGGAGGCAGCATGATGGGCACTGAAGCCATGACCTGCCAGGAGCTGTTGGCTCTGAGCGGGGCCCTTAGCGCAGCTCTGCCCACTGGCCAGCTTGGACTCGGTTCCTTCTTTTCCTCATTCAGCAAAGGAGGTAAACTGCAAAAAAGAGCTTTTTAATATAATTATAACTCTCAGTGTCATTTATCAGACTAGTTTAAAAATTGAACAAGAAGTTCTGGGAAGAATGTATGTGATACAAACTTTCCTTTAAATACGGGAAAGCTGTTTCAATAATTTACAAATTCTAATCGTAATTACAGAATTTGATGATGTACAAAAAGTTATCTTAACAAATTTTTGCATATTTTCCATTTTAAGTTACCATACATAATTTCAGGACCCTATAATAGCAGTAATGTTTCTCCCACCCAACCAATTCACATGTTTGCCATGTTATTATTACCAATTGTAGCAAATTAATTTCAAGGTCATTCTAACGTCAAATGACATAATTTTCATTCAACTTTTATGAAAATGAGTGAGATGGTTCAGAAGTTGCCATTTTTTTCTTTCCTGAAGGAGATAAGTTAAAAAGAGGCATTTGGAAAATAACTTACAGAGGATATAAATTTGTTCTTTCCAGGTGTGGAAACTCTCGGAGATGACCAAGAAGGCTTTCACAGGTGGTGCAACAGTCCAGAACATGAGTTGTGTTGCAGCGAACAGCCCTGCGGTGGAGATTGGGCCATGATACTGGAGGGAGGAGTCTCCAAGAGGCACCGCCGGCGTCACGGTGGCAAGGTACCATGGAGGTGGATCTCTACCTGTTGTTGCTCTTGTCTCAGGGGTATCCGTCGAGTCATCAAGGCTGTGGTCGAACACAAGTACTTCCAGCAAGGGATACTTCTCGCCATTCTCATCAACACCCTGAGCATGGGAATTGAGTACCACAATCAGGTGAGGTCAATTATGGCGGCTGCACTACCGTTGTTCAGTCTGTGTATGAAATGGTTTGTTAAATAAGTTTACAGTTTGGTGTTAATTAATCCATGCAGACGCAGCTATGTTTAGGACGTCCCTCTTGTAGCGCGCATGGATGGGACAAGAGGTGTGCACCGGGTACTGGTCGGGAAGCCTGAGGGGAAGAGACCGCTGGGGAGACCTAGACGTAGATAGGAGGATAATCTCAGGCGGGATCTAAGGGAGATAGGAGTTGAAGGAGACTGGATTTTGTTGGTCCGGTGGAGGGATTTGGTTAGTTCGGTGATTAACCTTTGGGTTCGGTAAGCCATCTAGTTAGTTAGGACACCCCTTAACAGATCTGCGGTTCTGAAATCCATTGTAACAAATAAACTACCTCATCGTCTGTCCAGCTGATGGTTAGCTGCGTGAAATTACGGAATGTTAACCATAGCTGCACTCCGAAGTCTTTTTCAAAGTTTTCAGGTTTTATGACAATAGAAAACCCCCTAACCTTAAACGTACCCGACGTGTTATGATAAAATAACATTTCGTCTCTATTGAGTTTTCGTCTTTAATTTTCCAGCCAGATGGGCTTACTGTGATAGTGGAAATCAGCAACATCGTATTCTCGGCGATATTCGCAGTTGAAATGGTGCTCAAGGTTGTTGCCGAAGGTCCGTTCTCTTACATTAGCAACGGGTTTAATGTTTTCGACGGTGTTATCGTTGTGTTAAGGTACGTACTTTATTTATCACAACCTTACATGGTATTTTTCCTCTTTAGTTTCTTGTCATTCTGTGTTAATTGGATCTTAAGAATTTTTGAGTGCGTTGATAAAAGTAATGTCCTGTATGTATTAAGACATGTAAGATTTGAGGTTTTCACAGCGGTGAGTACGAAGATTTCTGTCTTCTGGGTTGTTGCGCGATTCATCGCCCTGATGACGGAGGCAGTATGACCTCTGAAACGTTGGTAAACATCGACCAGACTACACAGCGTAACAACCCAGAAGACAGAAATCTTCATACTCATCGCCCTGATGACGGAGGCAGTATGACCTCTGAAACGTTGGTAAACATCGACCAGACTACACAGCGTAACAACCCAGAAGACAGAAATCTTCATACTCATCGCCCTGATGACGGAGGCAGTATGACCTCTGAAACGTTGGTAAACATCGACCAGACTACACAGCGTAACAACCCAGAAGACAGAAATCTTCGTTAAGTCATGTGTTTGTAATATAGACGTATACAGTTTCAACTCTAATTACCCTCGTCATCACGGCAATATATTAATCAGTTATTGCTGCATGTTAAATTGTTGTTTGTTCTATGTAATAAAGACCTATTTTTCTATATCACTTAGTGTGATAGAAATGTGCCAGACGTACCTGGGCGATGGGGAAGGCAGCTCCGGTCTCAGCGTCCTGCGAACTTTCCGACTGTTACGAATCCTCAAGTTAGTTCGGTTCATGCCGAATCTTCGCCGCCAACTGTTTGTGATGCTGAGGACGATGGACAATGTTGCCGTCTTCTTCTCGCTGCTCATCCTTTTCATATTCATATTCAGGTAAGATGAATTTGCTCCTGGATTTTCTATCTTAATGCAGTTTATAGATATTTTAATCGTGTGTTCAGTGTATCCCGTGACGGATTTTGTGTCGTTGTCATGTCGTTGTATTCCCTTTTCCTTTCCTCCCCCCTTTCCTGAAAATGCGTGTGAGACGAGATCAGTAAGTGGAATGTCACCATTTTCTTCATGGCTAATAACTTTACAATTTATAAAAGTAAACCAAAAATATGCGGACATCTTTCAAGTAAGAGGCATTTACAAAAAATGTGTGCTTTAAATCATATTAGATCCAGCAATATGCAGTACAAATTAAAGTACTTAGTTTTCTATTTATGTTTGCATATTTTACTACACCCAAGGGACCCCTGTTTGCAAGAACAGAAACTCTTACACCCTTTCTGCATCGTGTGCCATTTACATGACAGTCGACATTATTACGTTATAAGGATAGGCAGAGATTTTAAGTCGTTTGCCCATCGACGCAGATATACGTAATCATAGATGAAAGTTTCTGTGCTGATACTTTATTAAATGTGTAATTTGGTTCTGGAATAGATTCAACGTTTTTTTAATCACCCCTTGTAACTGTTTCCATCGTACGCTAACAGTCAAGTATGGCATAACCTGAGAATATGTATTTCTGTGTCGAGATGCATAAAGTAGCAGCTAAATTTTAGATGTTATTCTGAATTTTTCTTGAAGAGGCTGATGGATATCACATACACAGAATATCACTTGTTTTTCATCATATCTTTCTTTTTAATTGTGACATGTATTATAAACAAAATAAACATATATTCAGCACAGTAACCAAAGCAATCACTTTTAGAGGGTTTTTTTTTTTCAACTTATGAAAGGAATATGGTCTGACAAATTTTGTTTTTGTCTCAACAAATTTCATCAAATGCTCTGTGATGCCACAGTAGAAAATAATAAAAAAATCCATCAACAGATGAAAAATATGTACTTATTAGCAGTTTTGAACAATTAATCTTCTTCCGTGATTATACCTTTATAGTTATTTTAATATTTTTCTGTACTGCTTATTTGACTTTCAGTGGTGAATATTTTAAACTTAGTTGCATTAGCCATGAAGAGATTAATATTTCCATATAGTCATATTATTATAGTCCTCTGAAACCTTTTTATTGTAAATAAACGTATTTTATTCCTTTAAATCTTACGTTGAAAATATAAAACACATTATCATATTTTAACTTGTCATATTTTGACATGAGCTAAAATGGTAAATATTAGTTTTGATGTATTTAAATTGTCTCCAGTGTTTATCTAAACTTTCACCGTACAGAACGTAATATTTTTATTTAACTTGAACGCTCAAATTTATTTTATGTGGGAAATTTTATTTTATCAAAATATTCTGACAGTAGCAAATGTCATTCCATTAAAACTACGTTCAGTAAGGAATAAAAAATATAATAAAACTATTTATCCATATTTTATTTCTTAGGCACAAGATAAATATATTGATGTGACTACTTATATGTCACAGTTCTCTACGATCATATAACACCGATGAATCATTTCATACCAATCAATTTTCAATAGTTTTATTGAGGATTTTATTTATTAGTTCAATATTTTATATAATCTTTCACATAGAATATGAATAAAACATTAAATTAAATTTAAAATTTGTAGAAAGGAGATAGTAACAAATAATTCAAACATAACCAACTATTCTAATTTTTGCCCCCGAGATAGACTTATTAAAATCTTAATATAATTTTCATTAAAAAATAAAATGTTTGTGTTTAATAGTTCATTTTGCCATAAATTTAAACATGTAGTATATCTGCAAATATTTGGGATAAAAGAAATTCAAAAGACAGTGAGTGTGCAGGAGATGCAATGCTTGTTTAGAAGAATGATAGTCTAAATGGCTTTCATTAAACTTGTGTAAAATTTTTATTTTTCTGAGTACTGTAGACGCATTGCCTCGTGAGTGTAGTGTTGCAGTTTGCACGCATATATGTAATTAAAAACTACATAACAGTAGAACCTGTTAGTCAATATTACAGTCAGTTTTTCTAGAAAAATCTTTGAGATATACATTTATTGCATTTTAGTTGGACATAATTCTGATCCGTTTATGTGTTGCATTTTAAAATATATTTTACCCATGTAGCTGCGGTATAGACATATAAAATCCTTCTGATTGGAGAAAGAGAAAATGTTGGGCTTTCTGTACCTTATTGTCAACAGAGTTTAATGGATTGAGCACTTTGTACCCTGGATGTCTATTCATTCCGTTGTTCGATCTTAAACATTTAAGCGGACAAAATTTACACCCCAGATTCATACTGAATCTTCATTCTTCATGTAAATTACACGTTCCCAAGGTCTGGTTAATTTGTAAGATAATTCATTTTTAAAGTATCCTTGCCAGCTTTCAGTGTGTACTCGGCCTTTCGGAAAATGCTTCTTTTTTTTAAGATGGCTGTCATCTGAGTTCTAGCCGTGTGTAGTCTGGTAGAAGTTTACCGACGTTTCAGAGGTCCTTACTGGCTCAGGACCTCTGAAATTTTGGTAACCTGCCACACTACACAGTATTACAACACAGAAGACAGCTATCTTCGTACTCACTGCCTTGAGAACCTCACATTATACTTTGATTTTAAAGTTCTGGAATAAAAATAAAAATGGCAACTTTAGTTTTAGCATTTTATTGCTAAGTGATAGTCCTCGTACGTAGACATAAATCAAATCAAACCAGAGTCAGTACCAAATGCAGATGCAAAGCAGTGCCATTTTTAGTTACATAGAAGAAATAAAGTACCAAAGAAAGTTTCAGTTTAAGTGCAACGTAATTTCTCATTGATCATGACAACATTTTGACTTTGATTAGAAAACAGAAACACGTCTTAAATGCCATGCAATGCTTTGTAAAGGGGGGAGATGGCGAAATGGATACTTTGTATGTTTTATTTCTTTCTCACAAGTAGGAATATCATGTTATTCATTTCTTCACAACACTAGGCTACTTCCCCCATAAGCTTCGATCTGCTTTTCAAAACTCACGTGACAGGGGTGACATGCAGAGTAATTAATTCCTCATTTGTTTAACTGTTTATCTTTCATATCTGCAAACTGTCTTTTTACCATTTCCTTTTCTCATACCATTCTCTTTTTCTCACTTTCTCCCTCTCTCTCTCTCTCTCTCTCTGCCTGTCTTTCTCTGTGGTCTCGTCTTTATGTCTTTGTATTATACTATTGGTGTCGCCAAACTGGTCGGCAGTCAATATACATCTTTCCAATACTTATTAGAATTCTCAATAATTTTTAAATATTGTGATGTTAAAATACAAACATGTTTTTAATCGCATTCGGCTCTTGCAAAATCACTTCCGTTCATCTGCAGTGTATTGTTATATGTCATCTGATGTTTAGACTACGTATATATTAATTACATAATTGAATATTAAAATTGACAGATTAGGCATTTAACAAAAATCATGATATGAATACATGTGCAGATATGCAGGGTCCATGCATTCAAAGTGCTGGAATTATTCAGAGATGGGAATTTCGCTTAACACTTCTCCCGCTGTCCGGAGGGCCTGATGACAGAAAAATCCCAACACATCTCCAAGGAGAATCTCTACTTCCGCCTGGACCAGTTTCCTATACTGGTTCACAAAAATAAATGTGTTATTGAGTTTCTGTGACTGTTCTATTACTCCGTTATACTTTTCTACAAAATATAGGCCTGGACCTGAGCCTAATTCCTATGTCATGGAGTCAAAGATCCATGCATTCATAATCTCTGCATTAGATGGAGATTAGTGGTTAGCTGTAACTTCCGACCATTCGAAAACTGTGGAAAGTTGTTTGAACGTTATATTTAAATGTTTACATGGCTTCTTATATAGAGGACTTGCAAACATTTTCAGAATGGAAAATTTAATTATGTACAGCGTGAATTAACAAGAACATATACATTCCTGTGTTGACTGTAGATATGAGGTAAAAAATATTCAGTTTGCATTTTGTATGTATTTGAATTGCCAACCTGGATGGAGACACCACTTCATTTTTCTTCTACAGATGCTATGTTGTGACTTTTTAATGAGAACTTTTACTTTCATCTACTTCTTATAACGAGAATGAGCAATTAGATTTGGTGGTTTAAAAGCAATAAGTAAGGACATTTTTATGTTATAACACACATTATTTTATACTACTTTTAGAAGACATGCTCGTATAGTTATGAATAAAATTAACTACTAAAATTTCCAAATAAAAATACTGGAATTCTTGGCTATGTTTTATGATAATAATCTTGGTTTAAACTAGTGTTTCAGCAGGTAAATAAATTTCCTGTAACATTTTTTTTATTTATTATTCCAGTTTTATGTTTTAGTAATTTTTAATTCATGAGGAAGAAAATAAATAATGATAAAATTTAATTTTATTAAAATTTACCCGCTACACATCTCATTTACATATTTAATGATAGTTAAGTATAACATTTTAAAGTACTTAACATTTAAATATTGTCACATTTTTATTTATTTGTGAAGAAATATTGATCAGATATCACAATTTGTATTACTATTTTTTTTATTATATACTTGAACTGTTATTCTTTTTTTAGTATTCTCGGCATGAACCTGTTCGGTTGTAGATTCTGTGAAATTCAAGCAGATGGAACAAAGATATGCGACAGAAAGAACTTTGACTCGCTTCTCTGGGCCATTGTCACAGTGTTTCAGGTATAATTCGTCACCTTTTCGTTCATTACATAGCTTACTGTATTCTAATATATTTTATCATTTAATATATCATAATAAAGCACTGTTGCCATTGATAATCTACCTTACAGTTTACACGTATGATTTGTCACTTCTGAATAATTGAAGCAATTTGCTTCATTTTTCTCTTCTTTCTTTCTTTTATCGAGAACCTGCAGACTTTCAGATATTTCACGTACGAGCGCAAAATACATCTCTCTGTATCTTTACACGGTGAACCTC